CGTACATATGATCTTGCAAAGACTGCAGAGCCTTCGCTCTAGTAAAATGAGGTTCCTGGGCTACCTCATAAATGGCGCCAGCGTGCCACTGTGCTGTTCCGTCGTAAGGTATTTCCAGATGTCGGAGTGCACTCGATAGTACGTAGTCGCCGGTGGGTGAACCAGCCTTTATTTATCAGTACTACTATGGCGCCTATGGTCCCTGACTGGTGCGTTTAAAGCGTCCAAAAAACTGATCCCTCGATTTCTGCCTCATGACGTCACAGAAGTGTCATGCTGTCACCGACAGCGATCCTGGCGGTGTCATGGCAACAGGGGTGGACGTGGCAGACGCCTGTTTGCTGCAGGTCGCTTTAAATCTCGACAGTCCATGAAAGCTCCGGCAGCCACGAGTTCGCTCCGACTTGCGACTTTGCAGCCAGGAGTTGACTGGACTCTGCGACGGCAGCGACACTCACATTTGCTCGTGCTTCTTGCCGGAACTTCGACGGCCAACCAGCAGGATCGCGAGATATGACAACGTGACACTCCGGCTCTTGTGACGTCATTGGTTACCACTTCGGGACCGCTCTCGAAGAATGTGCGGAATGCGACGCTAAACGCACGAGTCGTAGACGCGTTTCTCGCACCGTACTATTATGGCCGGTTCACACATTTGCTTTGAGAGTGATCAACTAGGTAGCAACCGCCGCGTGCATCAAACAGTACTGACAATGTTGTGAGCGACCATATCTCAAAGAGCGCTTGCAGAGCTTATATCTCACATACCGCCAAACCTTTAGTCAAGTTACACGCGCATGAAACGTGTTCCATGGTTACTTGATGGATGGCGCCGGTGCGTTGTCTTGTCGCAAGCAGTCACAAGTGGTCTCAACGCAGCCGGTCACACTCAAACTAAAATGTGAGAACCAACCTTTAGAGTTGCGACGCGTAAGACGAAAGTATGTGATCTGTGGGCAATAAGCTTAAAAGAACGCCCGCTCGTAGCTGCTGTAATGTGGCGAGACAGTTACTTTTTGACTGCTTTTTAGAGTACAGCATGCCAAAGAGAGAGAGCCCGCTTCTGGGCTACGAGTTTCTAGAAATACGGCAGAGCTTAATCTATCAGTTCGTGTTCTTCCAGCGACGATGGTAGTCTTTTGAAGTCACCGTGGTATCTAAACAACTTCAGTCCAAATCAGAGCGAGCATCGGTGTCATTCAGTGGGTATGGCGATATTTTTAGGCAATTGGTAACGACTGCAAGTGACTAGAATCACTGTGAGTTTAAGAAATGCACGGCGTAGCGAGTCTCGCGCACCATAATATTGCTTTAAAGGTAATGAGATGGCGGCGTTACTCCATAAAAACGCCGAAGGAGAAATCACGAAGCGAGGAACGTGAAAATAGAAACCTGCTTTTCTTAAAGGGGGACCAAACCACTTTCTGCGATAGTCAACTTATTGTCATAAGTCAAAATATGGCCCCTAAATATCCTAAGAACAAATCATTACATTCACGCGTGGTCGAGTCCCCTATTACAATCGGTATGAAAGCTCGATTACCTCGGAACCATTGCAGACAATACAGAGCGCGTTTGGACGAAGAGAAGGGCTTCACCGGAGGCGCCCTCTGGTTTCTCACGAGAAATTTTGTTTGGGTCATATTTTAGGAATTCTCTTGTAACATCATGCTATAAAAAGTAATTCTCGACCTTTTCCCATCATAGCATAGGAAAAATATTAAATATATATTTGCTCTCCGAAAGCAGTTCATTCGCTTTAACAACAAATATGGAGAGCATTGTGATATGCAGAACTAGCTAGAGGTACGCCATGTGGCCGAAGAAACCTCCGCTGACTGCGACGACATACGCACCGGTTTACCTACTTAAAATAGGCTTCAGCGAGAGCCAAAAGCACAGACTAAGTAGTAAACATCCGAAAAGGACACCCTGCCTAAACAATGATCTTGTAGAAGGCACTGATACATGCTACGCAGGATTCAGTTACTTCTACAAAGGAGAGGGAATAACATTGAAAAAAAAATTTAGTTTCTTATTTAGATAATGATTTAAATCATGAGGGTTTCACAATGATCACATACATATATCCGCGAACGTAATCCTTCAAAAAGTTTTTTTTTTTTTTTTTTTACATTTTATCTATTCTTTTTAAGTGTATCCATATGGATTTATGTTGTACGAAAATCAGCGTATCTTCAACCAAGGGAGAGCAATATACCAGGATGAACACGGGCAAAACAAAACGTACGATTTTGAGTAAGTTGTTATGTCCGGACCTGTTTCTCCTTCAAACTCCATTTCTTCTGCTACACGGTTTCTAATCACCGACAAATCAGAACGCGCATGGTAAAAATAAAAACAAGAGGAAAAGTACGCCCGCGCTAACACTATGGTGCCTGGAACGCGCGTCGCCGACTGTTGCGTTCATCGCGTCGAAAAAAGTGGTCCCCCGATTTTCGCCTGATGACCTCATACAACTGCCACGCTGTCGCCACTCGCGATCCTGGTGGTATTACGGCAGCGTTGGCAAATGTGGCAGACGCCTGTTCTGCTGCAGGTCGCTCTCCAGTGTGGCAGTCCACGGAAGCGTCGGCTGCCAAAAGTTGGCATGCCGCGACGACAGTGACACTCGCATTCATTCGTGCTTTTGGCCAGCATTTCTTCAAACCAACCGCCAGGATCGCGACATCCGACAGCACGACCCTCCGGCTTCCCTGACGTCATTTGGTGCTACTTCGGAACCATTTTTGTGGTACGGGCGGGATAGAAAACTGAACGCACCAGTTAAAGACGCCCCACCAGGTGTACCAGACTCCAACCAACCAAGATTAAGAAAGGCTGTAGGCGTCGACAGACAGTCAGAGTCATGCGTCCTTTCATTGGACGAACAACTAGAAACGTCAGGGCGTCGCTTATTAGGTTCATGCTTCTTGCTTCGGGATTGGGTGTTCGGCGCTCTTATCGGCTAATATGGCGATTTTATTGGCTGAGAGTGATATAAATATTGTTATCACACCCATATCATCGGGACTCCTCATGACCTGCTCATCTTAACCTCTCGGTGGTTAGTGTATATTCGTTTTATATCACGTGTGCTGTATCTTTTCCTGATACGATGCCACCGTGTATTTGCGACTTTTATGTTTTCAATTGTAAGCGTCTAGCTGCAACCGGCGAGCTTCCGGAAAGCTTCCAAGACCTAGGTTCCACATAATAAATATTGAATTATTGGGCAGGCGATAACGGGGAACTTGTTATGATCCAGCTTTGCGAATAATTCGCTAGAACAAATAGGTCAATAGATTTTATTTTTGCAATAATTCAGTACTCGTAGTGTAGCGTCTCCCGCTCTTCAGGATGCTGCCTATGACATTGGTTGCAGCGTGCTCTAGTAATCCCCAATGACTCGCGCTTTATACATGTTCATCATTGATTCAGCGCGGTAAAAACAGAGCCGCATTATTGGCTTTCCACGTCTCGTTCCGATGGCGCGTTACGAAAACTGGAGGAAGCTAGAGTAATCGTATCTACCCTAACCTAATATAATCTAACCTTACCTAGCTAAAATAACCCGAAAAAGCACAGGTTGATAGCGAGTGCAGTATGGTGTTTTCTGTGAAAAGTTAATGAGCGTTTCCGCTATGAAAATGAAGCCAAATAATAAAATGGGTCAAGGACGGGCTTGCACGGGCTTCGGTTTGACCCCCGACTGTGTGGAGTAGCGCAGCGACTAAATAAAACGAAACACAAAATAAAAATACGTGACGACCGTTTCTATGCGCTGTTATCGAAATACTGAACCAGAAACAGCCACCGAGACTAACTTCGACGTTACCGCACTCTGACGAGTATAGGGCCACCGAATTCAGCTCGGGTGCTATACTCAGTTTGATTTTAGTCCGGCGTACAGCTGACACTAGGCTATAATAGAGCAAAATGAAGCGGAGCTAAAAGGGCATCGCCACAAAGCCCGTTTTTTTTTTGTGAGTTTGTGAACACCGGAAAATCCGCTCGCGCAGAAGAAAGCGCAAGATCACGGTGCATTGACTGTTGACGATTGGGTTTAGATCGGTGATAGCATATCCTCAAAGAAGATGAGCGTTGTCGCAATATCCATTGGGCGCCGTTTGATTGGCAGTATCAAGTCGTATCGTCGGCTACAGTCAGACTCTAAGCGAACACGGAGCCTGGTCTGGGCTGGACGGAGACCCGGTCCCATTCATTGAATCTTCGCAATAGTGGTGGGCTTGTGTTTTACCCATAAAGATGGGGAACCGAAAAATACTTGTTCCCCAAGGGAAAAGGTACTTTTCTTTTCGAGAACTATACTTCTCCTTACAAGTAATACTTCACTATACAAGTAAGGCATTTCACCATCAACGCTGCGAGTTGCCCACCGCAGCTCGCAGTGCTGATAGTCACATCTCACCTCGACATTTGTCGAAGCAATAGGCAAGTCACCTTGATACGTGCTCACGTAACTGTTAATTGAATAGACTGTCCAATTTTAGTATTCGAAAACGCGGAATATGTTTGCCTCGTGTCTCGAAACCGTGAGTGACTACAGCGGAAGGGACTTAAAAACAAAAGCGTCAGAGCTGTCACGTAATATAGAAACGTGGAACGCGCTACACAATGAAATAAATTCTTCAAACAAAGTGGTTCGGAAAACACGACACTAACTGTAACGGCAGTCACACGACTAAAACAAACATAACGTCTGTTTAAAACGGATGCCGCTGAGACACGTGAACCCGGCTCGGGGGATCACGGGAACTCTCGAAGACCCTCGTACAGGAAGGAAATCCCATGACGCAGATCCTTTGTTTGATTCGTCATCGTCATTCGAAGACCTCCAATGGTAGGTCGCTAACGCAGTCCTCAAAAACAACACAAGAAGATATAGAAAAATTGACAGCTCTTGTCATATTCTGCCACACATCTCCGACCGCTTTTGTTTTTCACTCCTTTAAAAGACGCCACACTGCCAGTCCGTCTCAGAGAAAAATTCGCTTTGCAAGCGCATAGTCAGTGTTTGTAATCAATACTCTACATATCACGTTTCGCAAGGCTTGCACTCTATACAACCTATCGTACAGGTTCTAAGGTAGAGTACAAAACAGCCCATGGTGCAGACAACTGCAGTGTTCCTCATCTACAAAGAGTATAAAGTTGCCCCTAATATAAGTAGCGAGGAAAGGATTAAGGGATCTGTAACTTGAACTAGATTCCAAACTTTTAACTGTTCCACATATAAAGGTTGGGCGTACGCATTTACGTTATCCAAGTGTAGAGACCACTCTAGCTGTAGCCCTTTAGCACCAGAACCAGAGGATACAACCAGCCATGACTCCTTCAGTCACCTGCATTCTGCTCCTGGGAACAGCATTGTTTTTCCTACCAGCCACACGGGGTAAGTCTCTCAGAACTAGATGCACCTTACAATTGATTGTTACGCGCTGATACCTCAATTAATTTCAAGAATAGCCTCCTGCAAATAATTGAACAACGTAATATGTGGAAACTCGGAAATGACGCCGGTCTCTGTAAACTAGACAACTGTTTTGCTTTGTTTTTGTTTTTAAGTAAAGTACCGCATTTTTATAAATTGTAGCTGACATTTTGCACTATTTAACAGTACAAGCGTTTCGATTAGTCTGGTTGGACTAGACTTTATACTAAGTTCTGCATGAGTCTCAACTTTAAGGCAAGGATTTCGGTAATGCCTTCCCTGAATAGTTTCGAAGGGGCCAAAAATAATTTTCCCAGCCATTTTCTAACGTTCATTGTCAGGAAGGCCCAACGCTATACTTGAGTGATGGTCTTGCACGTACAAAGCCTATTCGTTTACCAATAAAGGTGGCACAGGAATGGTACTGTCTAAGCTACGTCGGCTGCATAGACAGTACACATCGCTATAAAACGTTTAAATATTTCTCTAACCTTACGTAAAAACCAACCCCGAATTCCTTATACATTGTGTATTTAATCATAGCAGCCGCAGGGTTTTACTGCATGATGTTGGTTTATCTATGGAAGTTAAGCGTTGCTTCTAGCCTGAAGGGGGTAACGTTCTGCAATTAATATAACTATGTTTCCATGCCCTACTCTGCGTATGTCATTATATGTTTCTTTGAATGCAGCTCAGTGTATCAACGTCACCTTGCCAAACGTGCTTGGCCTGGGAGAAGTAAGTCCTTTTTGACATCGTATTTAAATGACACGAAATAATGATTAAATGCATTTAGCAGAGGCAGCACTCACAAGAATAGTGATATAGAGCTTCGAACTTAAAAAAAAAACGAATTTTTCCATGATTGTTTGAAAAAGTATAATTTATGCACTATCCAACAGTGAATAATTTTTAACTTTGCCTAGGTAATCTTGAATTCTGTAAAACGATACGGAGTTCCTTTTTTACTCAATTTCCCTTAAGAGACGCCCAATACAGCTTAAGACGTGTTGAATATGATAGAGGCTAAATGCGTACTAATTATGGTTAACAAACATTAAAGCAGCAATTAACACAACGTTTAAACAAGCATCCACAAATTCCCGATATAGCAACAAAATCAAGATCTGCAGGTATATTTAAAAAAAAATGAATAAGGGAATATATTTTCGAGCAAATATGAAATATTGTGTAGAAGTGCTGAGTCATTTTATTGTGTTAAAAATGTACATATATCTTGCTACTTTTGTTTCGTTCTTATGTTTCATTGGTATATATGCTGTGTGTCCCTTGTAAGAGTTGCGCTGCTCTCAAACGTGCATTAGGTACGGGACCTGAGTCAGGTGTCTGAATGCACCTTTGGTCCCTGCAACCTTAAGATAATATATATATTCATTAGCTCTTATGTCAACATACTTTTCTTTGAGGGTGCTGCTTCACCAAAGTTATGATAGCAACAAGGCGTGGGGTTGGGCTAGATGGTTGGTCATGTCGAAGTGTTTTTTTTTCCACTTCGAAAAGTTATGATAGTTCTAGCTTGGATGCTGCTAAAGCACACTAAAAGAAAGAGAAAAGTTCTGGAAGTTAGATTGGCCAAATAATGCCCCTGACGTTCACAGTCCGTTACATTCACTGAAAACTATAGGAGAATCCTTGTCCCTTCCTCGATCAGCTTCGTCGCATGAAAATTCCCTGCCTCTGTGGGGCAAGGAGAGAAAAGCGAGAACGTTTAGAATCAAGACATTGAACGAAGGGCATTCTTAAAATGAACGTTACCTGAATTGTGTTCCTACGGGTTGGAACATCATTTCGGATTGCTAATTTTGGAAAGTGTTATTGACCAAGCACCGACAGAGCCCACCCACCTAAGTACCACAAAAATAATTTCTAGAAATATTAGTTAGTCTTCATATTTTCGCGAATATTTTCGGATCCGTTATGGCGCACCACGCGACACAGTTACCATGAATCATAATAAAATTATGAGGACTGTTTAAATCATGTTGGTAAAAGATTCAACAGATGAAAGAATTCTAATAAAGTCAAATGAAGATGTTAACCCAAATTATTTGTGTAGGTGAAGCAAGCAGAAGGAACAATATTATTTTTAACAAATAAGAACAAGTACAAAAATCACGTGGTTTGTGCCAAAAGCAAAAACAAAAACGTTCCAGTTTGTTTTTGTTTCAATTTTATAAATGCTTTCCTTTCTGAAATTATAACATGTAGGCAGAACAAGACTGGCTTCCGCAAGCCGCACTCCAACAAAAATCTAGGTCAAATTTGTTGTGCTACATTTTTTAAAATTTAATACTTTCTCAATTGTGCATAAGACCTTCGCTGGAACGACATTAAAACAGTACAAAAGAGAGAGAGAAATGAGTTTGAGATTTAAATTATTCTACATGTCGAATAAAGTAACTAGTGCGGCTCTGAATTGAAATATTTATTATTTAAGAATATTTAATATCTTGTGTTTTTGCACCCATTGGAGAGGCAATGTCGTAACATTAAACATCCTTTCACTCAGAGTATTTGAGCTTCCACTTAATAATTCTTTGATGTTTTGGACATAAGCTTTTTGTATTTTTGCAGTGTCTGGGAACTACTTTAAGAGCCTGCCCAGACACATCTGTAAGTATTTTCTTCCTTCTGAGTAGTTAATTACTGCTTTTCTCGAACAGATAGTAAGCGACTTTTTCCGAAAGCCAAGCTATATTCAAATTCACTGCTAAAATTTTGTTAGGTGTTTAAAAACTAATATTACTTCGTTCGGGCATCGATTGCCAAACTGGTTAGCTTGCACCCTTAGGAGAGTCTAAAAACATAACATAATAAAGACGTGATGGAATAGCTCCAATGAAAAATGTTTAACAATTTTTTTTTACATTTTATGAACGTATTAACAATGCAGTTCTGTTCATTTTTTAATGAATCTCAGATGATATCATATCACTCTATAAGTTAATCAACGAAAGAAAGTTTAAGTTAAATATTTATTCGGGCCTTTTTTCTCATTCTAGTGGTATCAGAACAAGAAAAATCCTCAGTTCCCTTATGTTCCACCAGGGTTATCATTCTTTACCAAAGTAACTTTTATTTCAATTTTCGCAAATTGGGATATATTTTACATAGTACGTCCCACAAAATATTTTTTTGTAAACCCTATTTTGCTAGGATTTACGATGTATGCTTTAATAGCAATGCGTTTCTAGTTCAAACCTGCATGCCATTTTGATGACCACGTTAACTTAGTGAAAGTGAGGTAGAAAAGCTTTTCAGAAGAGCTGAACGTTTTATTTGTCCAAGTTTAATGTATTTTTTTCGCTTACTTATTCAAAAGTTTTCGAGCTTTATATATATTAAACTAATGAACTGTGTGGCTAAATATATATGTAAAACAGCCATCGATTTATTAAATAAGGTAAAGCAAATGACGTCAACATAATTTGTATTTACGTGGTCAGTTGGGCGAGTTGGTGCCGTTAGAGGATGTTTAAAGATGCGCCCCAAAAAACAATAAAATAGTGAAAATGTGGATTAAAGGCATCAGAGAAAAATTCCCCAGAGAAAGGGAACAAGGGGGACAAATTAAAAACAGAAATCTCCAAACACAGCTAGGTGACTGGTGTACGACTGAAAAAATCCTCCCGGCCCTGGTATCGATCGAACCAGGGTCCTCTCCATTCCAGTGGAGTGCTCTATCAACTGAGATACTCATTAGTTAGACGCCAGTAGAGCAAACCGCTTTTATCAGCTGCCACCAGTCTCACACCAACAAGGGTTGGTGTGAGACTGGTGACAACTATAAGAAACCAATTAATGCAAAGGTGGAAACGTGCTGGACAAGGATGACGAAAATAATCCCTGGAGAAGGGGAACAAGGAAAACGAAGAGCATTTGTATCTTGTCTACGTGTTTCTTTCCTTCGATCCTCTTTCTTCGTGTGCAACTTTAATCATGTTCTATTATGGGTATTCTTGGGCGTTTTTATTAACTACATTTTAGCTTATTCATTCAAAGGCGCAAATATTTTCTTAGATATGTCATTCATTCGTCTCTTGTGTTCCACAAAAAAAAGGATGTACTTTCACGTGAAAAATGGAGGGAAGAATGAATCCGGCTGAGCCCTTTAAATCGGTCAATAGCTTACGCCACCTAGCCATTTTGTTTTACCATTGGAGCACAGCAGGCGCCCTTTAGTGTCAGTGGTGGCTGCTACGAAATGGAACATCAATATATGCTTGGTAATGCATATAACGTTCAGTCGGCCTTGCAGGAGCCCGAATAAAAATACTACCAGAAGGACCATAGATGTGAAAAGTAGCTAAATAAAAAAAAGCATTGCCGTTGTTGTTTAGAACCCTGTCATCTCATGCCTTGCGTGAAGAGCCCGCCGTTGTCTTCTTGAGATAATCGCATGCCTATGTTTTTAGTGAAAGGGTCATCCGGTTTCTACCGCTTCAGTTGCATCACTCTTTAAATCAGAATCGATTATAAATTAATGAGAAGAGCACTCCACGGAATGAGAGGGTCGTGTGCTTGTTTCTTGTAACTTTCCTTTTTCACATTAATTATATCGAGGTCACTTGTTTGAATTGAAAATCATTTCGATGGCTGTTAGATATGCCAGAGCGACTAGGTAACTCTTTTGAATTTATACCCCACAGGAGGGCCTTCTTCCGGATCTAGTTGTTCTTCTGCGGGTGAGTATACAACATGCACTCCTGAGAATCTTATGTGGCATTCGCTTGGTGAATTTGGAGCTATCCAAGAGCGCTGAATGCTCACGCCTTTAAGGCGGTTGATGCAAAAGCGCGCTTGCAGGCCCAGGATGATATCAACAAAAAGCGCTTGAAAGCTCGATCGAGAGAATTCACTATTACAGGCAATATTGTATCGAAAAGAATCTTACAATTAACGTTTGCGCTTAAATACCCACGTATATAGAAACAATTGAACTAAATCGAAATTGTGAGAAATGAATTGTAATCAAAAACGCTTTCTGGATGCAAACCAATTGCTAAAACAAAATATCCTATGTGTATATTTATTTAAAAGTTCAATCAAGGCCCGAGTTCATCACAGAGGGGAGCGAGTTACATCACTCGAATTCAACAACCCTTAATAAATAATAAGCTATAAATGCAATTTCGGTATGTACATATTAGTGAAATGCTAAAATGCGAACATTGTTAAAGCAATTTTTAAAAGCGAAATTATCAGATATTGATACAACAAACGCTGGATGGTGGTTCCATAACACTGACGTTTGAGGTATGAATGAACTGTTAGAAGTATTATTCTTACACAAAGGTACGCCCATATTGGGTTAATAATCGAGACATGGTGATATGTAATCAGGAGATGTTAATAGCTTGCTACGCAAAATATGGTTGTGGTAGTAGATTTTGGAAACAGGCAGAAACGGGAAAATTCTCTCCGCGATGAAAGGTTAGGTGGGTTCAAATTGGATTTCATGGATGTTACGCTGGCAGTGCGATGATAATTCGTAATTATGAATCAGCCGGATCGATTTTGAATTTCTTCGACTGCAGATGTTAATACTTCAGTACGGGGTCCTAAATCGAAGAGGCATATTCCAGTTTAGTGCAAACAAGTGTTTTGTAAGTAAGTAGTTAAAACGATATGGGGACTGACAAAAAAATGTTCGTTTTAAGAAACCCAGCATGGGATCGACGTTACTTGTTACGTATTGAATGTGAATTTCTCAAGGCAGATTTAAGGAAATCCAAATATTCGTAAGATGTTACATGTTGTAAAGGAGTATGGTTCATAAAATAGCAAGAAGCACCACTGTGAATCAGGAAAAGCTTCATCACTTGTCATTTGTTAGTGTTAAGCTTCTGCTTCTTTACATTTTCGCATTCCTGTTAACACAAGTTCTAGCAATCGTAGAGTGTTTTATCCAGATCACCTTAACTTGTCACCTGTATCACAATTTCAACATTTCCTTAACACGAAGTATTGCGGCATTGATATTTTTTGTACAACTTTGCCCCATATGTTTTACACATGTGCATGATTTTAAAATCGGTTTGATTAAGGTTGTATGTTTTGTAACGGAAATGTAAGTCTTACATTCTGCTTTACCGCAAAGGCAAACCGGCTGTTGGTAAGCACGCAAAATAAATATTGTATTGTATTGTAAGCTGCATTCGCCATGAGTCACACCATACAGATACACGGTCAAGGTCACATTGGAGAAAAGAAACATCAGAATGGTTAGTCACTTCACAATATATAACAAAGTCGCCAGCAAACAAGCTTACTAAAGATGAGACACAGGGGGGCAAGTCGTTTATAGTTATAAGAAAAAGAAGAGTACCAAATATAGAAGCCTGCAGGACCCCGGACGTCACAGAAGCTAGAGGTGAGGATGTGTCAAGTTATCGAATCGGGCTGAAACTTTGGCATCTGGTTGTGACCTCTAGCGCTACCTTTGGGCAGAGAATAGGCATTCAGCGATTCCTAGTTAATTTTTGCGATAAAAAAAACAACTAATTTTTTTGTGACATCCTGTACTTTACCATATAAACATAATGTATATAGCTTCACCAATACACATTAGTTGGCGAGCGTTGTATTAACTCGTCCAGCTCAATGTAATTTCTAGAAGAGTTTGAAGTGATTTAATTACGACTGTTTGTTTTTCTACAATGCAGTGCGTGGTCGGAATCCTGCCTGAGGTCGCCAACCCTGCAAGTGTGCTCTTCAATGTAGTGGGCCTTTTAGAAGCTGTACTTTCAAGACTCGGAATCCGTGAGTCAATGGCGAAAGCTTTTTTATTGGCAATAGCATCTTACAAGCAGGTGTGTGACCGTGTTCAAAGAAACGTTTTAAGCATGCTGCAATCCGGACAGACGACAGTGTCATCACAAAAAAAAAAAAAACATCTGTGAAAACACTCAGCGGCTTATTATTGAGTGACCTCACGCACTTACCTGTCTTTAAAAAATATAAGTTTTTTTGCATCCAAGGTGGCACGCCAGAAAAGCGCCTAACTTGGCTGATAGCTTGGCAATCCTAGGGTCATAACTTGGACACCAAACGTGGTCTTTTCTTCAGAGCTTTAGTTTCTACCAGAGTATTTTTAGTTTGCATATTTATGGGTGTACTCTGGCTTGCTACACGATTGCCAAAGTGCCAGACGTGAGCTAAAGATGCCAGATGACAGCCAAACTAAATGTAGTAAAGCCTTAATTTGGCTCTTCTCTTTTTTTCTTTTCTTTTTTTTTGGGGGGGGGGGGGGGCGGGGGGGGGGGCGATGTAGACCATGGGTCACCATATAAAAACCGAAAAAAAAAACGCCAGATGACAGCCAAAGGATCCCCAGTAAAGCCTGACTTCACTTGTTTGGCAAATTAGGGCAAGACACATTGAGTTTCGCCAATGAAGCTTAAGTGTGACTCTGCCTTGGCTTCTTCGTTCGTCTCAAGGCCCCAAATTCCTGGCGTGACATTAAATTTTGGCTCAAAGGACAGCACTACCTAGGATACTATAAAAAAATTCGTTTGTTTTTCAAAAAATTGGTGTTAACTTTTTAACACTTTTCTAGTTTTTGATTACTAGACAGACCGGCCAAGGTTCGGTACGTCAAACACAAATTTAACTGTTCTCAATAGAGTTCGATACATCTCATGGATGCATAAAATCACGCGCTCGTCACTTGTATAAATTGACATCTAAATGAGAAGTTGGTAGTCTCCTTGGCACTCTCTCCAAGGTGATCTACCGGGTTTCCCAAGTAGCGGCCAGGCCCTTTAAATCGACCTTACAACTCGGTTTCTTAACCTATCGCGCTACGATTTTGTACAGCGTTGCCCACAGATAGTGCATTTTTTTTTGTAAATGTTGCGAAGAGCGAATTTACCTGAGAAAAAAGTAAAGAAAGAAAAAAGCTTAGCTCCTATGGAAACGCAGCGAAGCCACCGGTCTGCAAACAATACGGCGCCATTCCGCACGGGAGACAAGCGATGGCGCAAGTGGTCGCGACGCCAACTGCCGCCAACGAACGAGCATACGGAGACGAGAGCCGGCGTCTTTAGCAAACGATCTTTTCGACTCAAGAGCGGCGCGCGTTCCGCAGAGGGCGACAGTCACAGAAACAAAAACAGGTGCGGTAACAAGGAACTGTAAAGAGGACGGCATAAGTTCCACAAAAAAAAAAGTTAAAATAACCAGACAAATCCTTCTTTTAATCGATTATATGTCCATTCAATGTGTTTTATTATTAAGGATGATAAAATAATACATTGGCTACTCATATGAAAAAAGCTGCTGCCGCTTTTGAGTCGAAAAGATAGTCTGCTAACGAGGCCGGCTCTCGGCGCCGTACCCTCGTTCTCTGGCGGCAATTGGCGTCGCGACCGCTTGCGCCATCTCTTGTCTCCTGTGCGAAACAGCGCGGTAATGTTTGAAGACCGGTGGCTTCGCTATGTTTCGATAGGAGATAAGCCTTTTTCTTTTTTTACTTTTTGCTCCGGTAAGTTCGCTATTTGCAAATTTTACAAATAAAAAAAAAAAAAAAAAGAAAGAAAGAAAGCACCATCTGTGGGCAACGCTGCGCAGTATCGCAGCGCGATAGGTTAAGAAATCGAATTGGGTGGTCGATTTAACAATCCTGGCCGCTACTTGGGATACCCGGTAGATGCATAGCATTTATAGGCGTCTTCAAGCTCCACCTGCGGGCAAAGTAAGCAGGTCTTTGAACAGCACATAGAGGGGCGGGGGGATATTTATATAAAGCCGTCAAACTGCCAAATGACACCCTGAAGTCAAGTGATGGCAAGTGACGTCAAGGTCTCATATAATGTCACGTCATGTGATGTCACGATATCCCGTCCAAGTGCCATGGTGCTAATAATTCCGAGACATGCGGGTCTTATCGAGGATTGTTCTGAATTCTAGGCAGCATATTGATTCACTGTGACTCCTTGGCGAAACCTGGTGCACTGCGTCGACAAAGTGTCAATTGCCACGCGGTTATCACCTTCACAATACGTACAGCGATGAAACAAGTGTATGATCCTCGACATTGATTTGCTATTTTCAAAAGTACACGTTTCTTCTAGCTACTTTTAGGCATTTATGTTATAAAGCATGCATGTTAGATTCGCCTTTACTTATATTCGTTTGAGTCCGGGTAAAACCTTATTCGTCATAATGATGACTGTGGTGATAACAATGATGATGACGTCGATCATATTATTGAACTATTCGGGACGTTCAAGTCATGGTAGGTGTAACTTAATCCCACGCACCTTACATATCCCTGCAGCATTTGGGATAGCTTAAATTATATTCGCTTAAAAATGAGGTAATAAAATGTAAAAAAAAAACAACTCACTCTGCTGCATCTGTACTGTTCTGCTAAGAAGATGCCACTGGTGTTTTTTTTCTTTGTTTTTGTTTTCTTTTCTTCAATAGACATGTCCCGAGTAAGAGTACTCTTGCGATTATTTCATTACATGATCTTACTCTTTTTCGATGACCTACATCTGTAAAATGTGTTACCTCGCAACAAGTCTTTTCGTGTAGAAAATATGCAAAAATATGCGCGCTTCATTTTGAGTGGGTCCTCGAGCATATGATATTATAAAGCTTCCATGAGGTAATTCTGGAACGCAGTGTCGAGTAACAGACGTCAGTGCTCTTGTTTTTACCAACAACCAGAATGAAGAAATAAACTACGTAGCATCTTAGTGTAATGACAAGAAAATCTGCCAGAAACATCAGCACGAAATGGCAGGCCACGTGCCTGCAGAAAGCCTCGTTCATATTATTCAGTTTGTATTTGCTGTAAATGATGCATTCAATACCGCGTTAGTTTTTTTGCCTGTCTTTGTTTTGTTGTAAACCGTTTTTTTTTTTTTCAAAGGACAGCTGCCATTGGTAAATGTATTATTGCATGAGCTCGGACGGGTAAAAGTCTCTGCGGTTGTATTTTTTTTAAAAGCATGAGAATTATGAGCAATATGTTTTCATGCGTGAAATGTTGTTCTCTACAAGGGACTGGAATTACCGCACTGCTCTCTCATTCTTCTACAGCCGCCGACATCGCTGGAATCTCTAATCTTATCTGCCGGCCCTTTGGGTTTCGTCTGCTCCCCTGCGATGTATTCAGTCCGGGAAACCTGGTCTGCAGCGCCCCAATTCAGCTCAGCCTTCCCAGCGTGTTCAACATTGGACATGTGAGCGAGGCACAGAAATAATATCGTAGACTTAACCACACATGATTGCCATAATTACGAAAACGATTAATAATAAATTTGATGAATTTTCCCCTCAGCTTGAAAGTAAATTCAAGCAGTCTCACTCACTGAGCAGCATTTTCTGACCAATTGAGATGTGAAGGCTCCAGGGAAAAGTTCTTGTTTACCCTAGATATCACCGAGGTAATGGTTCAGTGTGATTAAAAGTACCCTGTAGCTGCATTCTAAATTCAAAATGTTATGAACTAAGCCCCTTATAGAAATAAATCCAATAATTGCCTCTAAAATCTTCATTTATGCGGTTCAAAAATACAGAAACTCTTAAAAACACGTACAAAAATGCTAGAACAATGCTGTATAAAAAGTACCTAAAATAAATCATGTTTTCTTTCTTCGCGAAATATTTATAAACATATTTGTTTTTCAACATTCCCCGTAACATTAACATATTCACTATTATCATTATCGTGTAATATCATTCATAGCTCATCATTACTGCATTTAAAGTATTCGCATCATTATGTATTTATTTCTAATAGCACGGAGGATGAGTCAAGTATAATGGTAAATGGTAATTGTGCGAATGGCCTAAACAGCAATATAAACTTTATAATAAACAACCAGTAAAACATACGTTTTTTATCTACGGTTGTTTTGTTATGTTAATCCCCATTTGTTACTAACTAGATATTCAGTTCTTTCGCGGACTGTTCGTCATTAGTATTCTTATTTTCAGCCCCGCTTTAGGAAAAATAGATTAATTTTAAAGATGAAAGATTAACATTTCAAATAAAATTTGCTTGAATACTTTTGTTTACGAACTGCAAGCAGAAAGAGCTGTGTACATGTCCATGCTTTTACTCTAGACTATCCGCAGGACTGACTGAGATCGCAAAATGAAGTGCGCTAAAACAGAGGTTGTTAGACAAGTCATGGAGAGTTATGACAAGTTATGGAGAAATATCACTGTTACCCCCGTATTTAAATAGCGTAAAGTATTTCGATGTGTGTTACTTTAAGAAAGTTTATATTAAAAACAGAGTTCACTCTTGAAATTGTACATTTTATTACAACCCTGCCAAATGTGCCTGCGAACGAGTTTATAAATTTACGCAAAACTTATAGCAAGATAAACGTAATAATAGTTGATTGACTTGACACAATTTTAGATTCATGCACGAGTACCTGAGAGCTGCAAATAATTTCTTAATTTATGCATTTGTTTTTGCAGTGTCTAAACAGGACTCTTCTGTTTTGCGAAAATGGACAAACAATCTCGGTAAGACTACTGTTCCTCAAGGGTGTATCTCGAAACATCCTATTCGCATTTCGCGCTTTCTCATTTTCCCAATTCTTATTCGAACCTTCTCGTTTTAACCTTCTGGTGACATCGAACCCGGGTTTTTCGCATTCGGGCATATTCGCAGTTAGTCCCTTTGGAATTTCGTCCCATTCGCACTACGACCAAATGGGACGTCTGTCCACCCTGCATTGGCTCTGACAACTCGTAATGTGCCCCGCAGTCCACTTAAAAATTTTTTTTTTGAAATAGAAGGCGCATTACTTATTTTTTTATATGTCAGGTCTGTTTACTCTATAAATATAGTAGTGAAACTTAACATTCCTCGGACCAGAAATATCGCACCGCGTTCCAAGAGGTGGCATGTGCCTCTGGAACACCTTTCACTGGATACATTTTGTTTCGGTGCTGTTTGGTGCATCCATTGGACTGATAAAAAGCGTCGAAAAATAAGGCGAGGTTGTGTTGTACTAAGCATATCTCACAGGTTATGGAAAGGGTCGGAGTTTGAATTTTGGTTCTGCAAAATGTTGATTTGTGGTAACTGTCTAGTTAAATTCTAAATTCATCGGTACTGTTTATTTGTCTGCATATTTGAAGTATACATTTTAGACGTACTTCTATACTTTAAGCCGTAACTAAGTAATGGCGTTGTGACGTTTTCGCAAATATTTTTCTTAATTTTGAGGAGAGTAAGAAGAAAGTCTGTATTTCTGCTTCTGTGAAACGTGTTCAACACAAAGCTTGTTTTCATTCTGAAGATTGGCGTGCTGCCGTGACAATTTAGAAGTGGTGGTTTGGAAACGCCTCATCTGCAGTCAGGTGTCTTTATTTGTTTTCTCAATTTATTATCTAATGCATTATGGCAACCGCCAACTATTTTACCAAATAACCAGAAAACATAACTTAAAAAAAAACGCATACATGTCTGCGTCAAAGTAACACCATATCTCACTGTTCGTCCATTTTCAGAGCGCAGCTCTAAGGCGCCCGTTTCCTGGTTTCACGGCGTCAGTGTCGACGTCAACGTAACCGCTCTAAATTTAGCGGGAAAGTTGACATCACGTGACCTCAACACTTATTCAGTTTCTCCGCTAGATTTAGCAGAAAAATTGCGTTCTTTCGCTAGATTTAGCGGGAAAATGGACGTCACGTGACCTCAACACCAATGCAATTCCCCGATTCCCCGCTAAATTTAGCGGGGAATTGAATTGGTGTTGAGGTTACCGAAGCTCATTTTCCCGCCAAATCTAGCGGAGAAACTGTATTTGTTCATAGGTGACGTGGCAACAAGTTATGTGACGTCATTTCCCTTGCTAAACTTAGCGGGGAAACTGAATTGGTGTTGAGGTCCCGTGGCGTCAATTTCTCAGCTGCATTTAGCGGGGAAACTGTGGGAGGAGGAGGATGAAAGGGAGCGCAAGAGAAGGAGGGGGTACGGAGGAGAAGGGAGAAAGGAGGAGAAGGGAAGAGGAGGAGGAGGGGAGAAGGAAAGCATACCCTTGCCTCCATATTCTCCCCTCCTCCTCTTCAAGAGCTGCGCTCTAATTTCGCGTTACAGAGATTTGTAAACGTCTTTCATTTTTCGCCTTACAGGATCCCATCTTGACAGAATTGGTCCAGGCGGTCGGGGTAAGTGTAAAATATATCCATTGATAGTGATTATTCATGGTAATTAACATTTGAAAGACAGCATGTCAGCGATTCTGAGAGTTCTTAAGCTTATATTAATATAAAGTAAATTTAAAACAATTAAGAGACGTATACTGTGAGGCGTGGCTCGAGAGCAGAACCGGACATATTTTGTGTGTTTTTGTGATTCTGTGTGCCTCCTGAAAATAAGGCACCATCAGGAATACTCGCATTTTCCGATCAAACTTCCAAGCACGCAAAACAACAAAAACAAAGAAGTCAGAAGCCTTATCTTCAAACTCCAGGCACCCAGCCTCAACAACGCTCTCAAATTTTGTAAAGAGCTGCCGTGGTTTCTGAGCGTAGATACGCTATTTACTCCTAACTGTTCCAGTCAAAAATTTCAGGTAGCCTTGCCATGGCTGCATTCGTGATGCAGCTACCTACGCCTTGCAACTGAGTTGTTATTTATAAGGATACAAAACCTATAACATATTTTCTTCGCAAAGATGTCTATTTGACGAGAGATCCCTCTAGATTCACGTCAGCCTCAGTCATAGCATTAAAAGATAGCCAATCTAGTTTCTTGTCTACTTTTACATAGAGCCCATCGAAGCCTCCGCGTTCCTCCGTACGAATGGGGCGTACAAGAAGTTAAAAAAAATAACTAGTCTTCTTCAAGCTACACTGCCCTCACAGCAGTTATTTTAGCCGATATAGATATAAAGTTAAGGTAACCTCCAAATATCGCTAAAGCACAGTTTGAAGACCCGCGCTATTGATGTGAGACGAATTCCTAGTCTAGCAAGAACGAGAGCTTCACGATTCCTGAGCTTTCTGTCTAACCAAAACGGCACCTTAAGGTTTTGTTGCCATTTAATTATGCTTGCGACCTTGGAGGTCCCGCTAATAAAGTTTACAGCAGATTTGGCCTTTTTTTGCGCTAAATAATTCTTCTATCTTCCGCGAATCTTTTTTTCAGTGCATCTTGGGGGCGGCTCCGGGCGCGATGGGGCTTGGTCTGGCGCGTGGCCTGGTCTGCCCTCTCCTAGACATCGTTAACTCGGCTGTGACAGAGCTCGGCAACGCACTTCCCTTCGGGTTTCTCTTCCGAGCCGTTACGAGGATCACACGTGGGCTCACCGACAACATCCTGGGTTCAGTCGTCTCGTGTAAGATTCTCCTTTGGCGTCACTCTTGACTCTTATTCATTTATGTACCAATTTCAAAACTAAGGACACATTGAAGAATCTAAGCTCTTCGAATATTTCAGTGTTTTTTTCTCTTCATAATTTCTTCTGTTACTGGGTCGTAGTTTTAGTTTCTTCAAAGTAATGATGAACTCCACGTAGCAAGGCTACAGGCTCTGCGCCGTTTTGAAATCGCTGGATACAAATAAAAGTAGGGCCTCCTACACGTTATAGGGCGGAATCTTTTTCGCCAACATGTAATTTTCAACCTGACCTTCAGGAAGTGGGAATATTTTCTTAAACGTTTGTCACATTTGACATCAGAAAGCACAATTATTTCCTTCAAAGTTCTTTGCTTGCTAATTACACAGGACTTCGAGTTTACAAAATAAGGAAGAACACTAGAATCACGTTGTACATAATTTTGAGGTTTGCCTTCAAAGATTTATGACTTAGATATCGAATAACATTTATAAGTTATTTACGCATTAAGTACTAAGGAAGGTGATGCTGTGGTCTTACACGAACACATTCTTGCAAACCCAAAGGTTCTGAGCTATTGTACAGTTGATTCCGTATAAATAGGAATCAAATATTGAACATCTTAAAAACGTGATCAAAATTTTGCCAACCATGAAACTTCTTTTGAACGCATACAACAGCAGAACTTTGCAGAATTTCAATTTTTGAATGTTGTAATATTTCAACAACATATGCAGTTGTGCTTTCCTTTTTAATATTTTCATTGGAACTAAAGCATCCGATACCTGAACTCCATTAGATACTTGGGGTTAGAGATTCATAGATCAACTTCAGACATGTGATTGAACTAACATTAAAATTCTGGGTTGAATTTTCGCAGGCTAACAGCTTCAGAGCGTTCCTGTATACCGTTTCCGTCCGGAAAAAGAGGAACCTCCTTGGTACAAGGATACGGTTGGATCGCTTCAGTCAGGCGGCAAGTTGCTCCACCTAGCCGCTGTCGCTCGGACTGTGCTAAATGCTGAAAGCGGCGACCAAGCAGAATGCAAGCTATCTCTTGGGAACTCACCGAGGACTTGCTTTGATCAGGAGTCACTTTTTGTTTCAGAAATCTTCCAAAGAAGCAAATAAAATAACCAGTTACGTAGTTTAACATGGTTTGTTATTCTCCTTTATTCCATATTTGTCTGGCTCTTGCTTCGCTAGTTCGCGATGAAGATCGTGCAGATCTATGGCATTTATCAAGTTACTAGTAATTTATTTTAAACCCATTTAAGCTATCTGAAACTTCACTCGGCCTATGTGCAGGTAACAATCACACTAATTCTTTGGTTAAACGAGGTTGCTTTACCCTAAATAATAGAAAACTCCTGAAAGAATTTCCATATTGCCACAAACACAAGAGGATAAGAAAATGCCACACTGAAAAAATATGATTAAGCAGGCAAACTTGTGCCTTTAAGTAAGACAGAATGAACTGTGTAGGTTAATTGTTTGAATGACGTCAAGGGAGGGTCCACCAGCTGGTCGGTGATCACCGTCTCACGAAGCGGTGAGGCTATATAAGCAAGAATAAGCGTGTGTGCGCACAAACTACTTCCATGCGCTATCGTCATCTGCGTTGTCTGCCAGGGTCTTTTATTTAAGGCCCATTGCATCTGCTTATTATCTTTCGGTAGAGCTTTCCACCGTAGGGGCTGTGTTCACTCGGCAGAAGTGCCTACCAGGCTACACAAAAGGTAATCCAATATGATAGGTATTAAAATGCGCCGTTTACACATGAGCTACCTTCTCTTGTGTAAAACCTAATTGAACCATGACCCTGATTGAACTTACCAGACGACACTTTTGTGTCCATTCTAGGTTACTTATAACCCATAGAATTGTACACAAAAATCAATTTTTACATTCCACTCAAACAGCACACGCTAAAAAATTAAGAAACCGTCCGTGTGTTTATTTTAGTTTTATTATTATTTTACTTTATTGTTGTGTCATAATCCAGCGAGTTCGGCAAGCCTGGCTCCCAAAGTTGTTCTTATGTTTGCTAAAACGCAACATATTCGTAAATGTTTGACCGAACAACAGTGAACGGTGCTTAAGGATACTCCTAATCAGCATGAACTCGAGCAAAGATCATTAATTTTTTTTGTGTGTTAACGTATACATATCTCGGTTGATGTACTATAATTTGTAAGAACTGTAAGCGTAAGTGCCGAAGACTAAATCATATCGATTCTGTGATCTGCGACATACGTAGAAACTCACGTCAAGGATTATCAACTTATCTTTACTGAAATAATAAAAAAACACTGCCGGGTCAGCTATGACAGATTATACAATGTCCAAACCACAAGTTCTTGCTATTTTGTCTGTCTGTTATTGCCGCGATAGCTGTTAGAGGCCCTTCTCACAACTGGAAATGACATCAGTTGTTGATGTTGTAGTTGCTAATGCTGTGGTTATCGTTGTTTATGTTTAAGTTGGCGTAGATAGGGCCAAGGGTGTCCGTCGTCGACGTTACGAAATTCTTGAAAAAGGTTGCCCACCGCCCATGGTAATCGTACCTGGTTCCGCTGCGTGAGAAGCGGAGGCGTCACCACAGAGCAACGCTACAGCGTTAACAAGCCGCTTTATAGACAATTGCAAGCATGGCGCCACAAGTGGTGCCCCATGCGCGCAAGCGCGTGCAACGCGCGGGTGAACGTAGCTTTTTGCAAGCTCGTAATCGCACGGGCGTGCCTGCTCGAGCAGAGACATGGCGGCGGCCAGTCGCCCAGCTTGCAATCGTCTATAATTAGTGCTAGGATGCTTCAATGCGCTCGTGTTTATCGTGATGCCATTCTTGTCGTTCCCAATACCGACAGCACGCGCTCCCGTAAAAAAATATAAAAAAAAATTTCTGGTAACAAAATGCCGCCGTAGCACTTTCAATGCAAAAAGCTCGCCGCGGCGCGCTTTCACGCGCTCCGGGAAAAAAAAAATAAGATGCAAAAATTGACCGCATCTCCACGTGGTGAATGATGTTGATTGGGGCGAAGCTCTGGTGGTGCTTGTATGCGTAGACGCTGAGCCGCAGCATGCCGAGCCTTTCGTTCGTTTTCATCCATGTCAGAAAGAGAATATGTGGTATGGAACGTAGTTATACGCATTTGAGCATTTGACCGCAGCGCCCTCTCGTCTGTAAACGTTGAGCCAATGCATGTAAAGTTTAACGCGATTATATACGCATTTGACCGCAGTACCCTCTCCTGTATAGACGTTGAGCGGCTACATGCGACGTTTCATCCATGACATCCCCAGCTCTTGAGTTACCACCACATCTCAGAGCCCCCTACTCGTCCCGCAGTCGTGGGCCGTGGCCGAGTGGTTAAGGCGATGGACTAGAAATCCATTGGGGTGTCCCCGCACAGGTTTTAGTCCTGTCGAGTGCGCAAAACTTTTGATTTTTCATTATTTTTTTTGCTTTACACGAGCACGTGAGCACGTGAGCTCACGAGCACGAGCACGAGCACCAGCAAGATCGATGTGAGTACGGACGCCGGACGGACAAGGCTATATATACCCTAAGGAGCTTCGCCCCCAAAAGCGTTCAGAGTGAACTCGTCAGATGTCTGTATTAATACGAAAGCATTAACTGTCCCGTGGAGCAAGCTGACGTCATCAGCCACGCCGAACGGCAGATAAATTTTGTGGGGATTCCTCTGGTCTCCCTTCCCCGATGGCTGTGATAACGGCCGCGGGTCGGAACGCTCGGCCTTCTTCGCCGTGAGCTCCGACCTGTTCGTGAGGCGGAGGGCCGCCTGGCTTGGGGGGCTCTCCTCTCGCTCTCTCCAGGGGGACCTCTTTCCGTCCCCCCGCTCGGATGCGAGTCACTGCCGACAGGCGAAGAGGTTTCGCCTCTTGTTTTCCCGCTTTCGGGAAAGGGACTCGTCAGGGAGGCCGCGAAAGAGATAGGACGTGTGTCGGCGACTTCTCCGATGCTTTCCCGGTCTTGGCTCTCCGGAACCCCGCGTCTGGCCAGGTAAGGACGTTTTCTTACCTTGCCGGCACGGGGGGCATTTTGGATGGGGACATAGTAGTTCATTTTAAAAGTGTTCTAATAAATGCTCTTGGACTCTGTCCTTACTCTGGTACGTGTGTATTCTCTTCCGCTATATTCGAGAGAGTGAGACAAGGTAGACGATCATTGGCACGGACGGAGGTAATTTATCGAATCAACCCGCGGTAATGTAGCCCTAAACGTCGCCTATATTACCGCGGAGATGTGGGAACCGCGGGCTACTAGGTTTGACGGCTCCTTTGAGATCGCCGCCGCTGTTGAGATAACCCTTTGGTTACTCTATCGGTACATGTGTTAGTTGGTAGCTAGCAATATCCCACATAAAATGATTTTATGTGTGATTTTGCTAGCCACCAACACAGGTACAGATAGAGTAACCAAAGGATTGTCTCAACAGCGGCGATATCACAAAGGAGACGTCAAACCTAGTAGCGTGGTCCCCATATCACCGCGGCAATGCAGACGACGTTTAGGGCCACATTACCGCGGGTCGGTTCGATAAATTACCTCCGTCGGTGCCAATGATCGTCTACCCTGTCTGACTCTCTCAAATATAGCGGAAGGGAAGACACACGTACCAGAGTAAGGACAGAGTCCAAGAGCATTCATTAGAACATTCTTAAATTGAACTACTATGCCTCCATCCAAAATGCCCCCCGCGCCGGCAAGGTAAGAAAAGGTCCTTACCTGGCCAGACGCGGGGTTCCGGAGAGCCAAGACCGGGAAAGCATCGGAGAAGTCGCCGACACACGTCTTATCTCTTTCGCGGCCACCCTGACGAGTCCCTTTCCCGAAAGCGGGAAAACAAGAGGCGAAACCTCCTCGCCTGTCAGCAGTGATCTGCATCCGAGCGGGGGACGGAAATCGGTCCCCCCGGGAGAGAGTGAGACGAGCGGCCCCCAAGCCAGGCGGCCCTCCGCCTCACGAACGGGTCGGAGCTCACGGCGAAGAAGGCCGAGCGTTCCGACCCGCGGCCGTTATCACAGCCATCGGGGAAGGGAGAGGAATCCCCACAATTTCCGAAGGCGCAATTTAAGGCATGCCAACTTTGAAACCACGCAGGAAGTCACGCAAAACGGGAGTTTTGCGTGGCTTCCTGCGTTTTTAAGTATTATTGTAGTGATATGAAGCCGCCGCGCGTCACTTTCAATTAGCGCCTCCCCATGGCGCTGCGTGACCGCGGGGCAGCGGCCCCACCGCTCCACGCCCAAGGTCGCCGCGGCGGGGAGAGCACGCACGTTCGACCGTCGGCGAAAGTGCGCCGCAGTCGAAAGAAGGGAGAGTAGGCATGCATGCTTTCGCCAAATACTTTCGCATTCACACCTTATAAGTGCTTAGGTTTACCTCGAGCCTTTTGTTCTGAACGCTTTTTGTCACGCACCCCACGATGCGTGAAAGCGTAGCCGCTGTCCAAGTGCTTGGCCGTGACTTGTCGCAGCTATCACTGTTACTTCACTGTGAATTAACGCAGGACTGCTCAATGTATTTTAAAGGGGTCATGAAACGATTTTTCTACTTCTTCCTCCTTAGCTTTAATCCTCAACTCAAATGCGAATTGTGAAATCACGTGGTCGTGACATTCCTTCGGCACCGGTGCGATGACTCCTAGCTTCCACCGTGCTTTTTATGCACACCATAGAACTTGTCATTCCCCAGTGACGATAAGTTCCGTCTGGGCACTCATTGGCCACGAACGCAAATCTGAATATTCGTCGACGGATTTATTGTTGACGAGCGCATACGTCCGAGTGACGCAGTTCTCGTGTCCAATGCGTGAGCTGGGCTCTGCTGACGTCAGTTTGGCGCCAGTAACGCGCTTTTGGAACAGCGCGTGTATCATAGTGAAAAGGCGGAGAGCTTTCGAAGGCAAGAAGCATGGGCGTACCAACCGGGGGGGCAAGGGGGGCACTTGCCCCCCCAGTTCTCAGAGTGGGGGGGCAAGGCATGCGTTTTGCCCCCCCTGAAACGGCCGCCACTGGGCAGAGCAGACACAGGCCGGCGGCGCCCAAGGAATACCAAGGGCACTGCCCCCCGACCCGCGCGGGCATATTTTTAACGCGCAGGCGATACAAACCCTAGCAACGGTGCTC